AATTTACACATCTGGTCCCAATATCTATAAAAGCTATATTACAAAGTAGCTATCAAATTTTTTCATATAATCTTAATACAAAACTTGTATATATAACAAGTATTCAAAAACTAAAGGTAACACATCCCCCCATAGTTCCATGCAAGCATATATAACTCTTCACAATTTTCCCCTCCCTTCATCATCTGGTTGTGCCCGACCTGTAATGCATATTTTCAAAACACTAAAATGAGGGTTAGACCTTGAGGTCTAATGAGAAATCCCTTTGTTTGCTATTACAGGATGAATAATCACCAACACTTTTATAAACTCATATTTGTATCAATAACAAATAAACAACATTTTAATAAAACAAACCTCTTTTGTCGCATCAAAATGATGAGACATTATCCAATTATCGCATCAAATAGCCCAATAACTCAAAAATCACATTATGATAAAACTCAGCTCATCATATAGGTAAAAACATAATTTCCTTGCATCACATGGCTGAGACAACCCCCATTTCTTCACAACAAACTAGTGCAAGGACCACATCTCATCGCATCATATAGGTGCGATAAACCCAACATGTCACATCAATAAGATGCGATAAGTTATCTTGTCGCATCACAAGGATGTGACAAACTCCCTTATCGCATCACAAGGATGCGGTAAAAGTCACCTCATCGCATCACACAGATGCGACAACTCAAAGTCATCACATCATAAGGATGCGATAAACAGATATCAACGTGAAAACCTATATTTTACATTTTGTTGATTATGTCACTCTTATCCTAGTATACACATCTCCTTAATATGCCATCTTTGTCCCAAAATACACTTCTCCTTGATATGTCATTCTTATAACCAAAATACATATTTCCTTGATATGCCACAATTATTCTAATCATTTGATATAATCATATCAAAATACCAACTCATGCTAAAAATAACATAAACTCAGTTTCAAAAACTCCCACGTAAAGAACCATGCAGTTCTAATTTCAACACCATAAAAGGAAAGTTTTCAAAATAAACTCACATTGAATGCACAAAGATATGCAGATATGATGAAAATCAACAATAAATATCCAGATTAAAATCACAAAATCAACTTCTTCGTCTGTTGTTCCCTTCGATCTCTTTTCTCAGCTCAAAACGTACACACATAAATGTTTTACCAACTCTCTTTTTCTTAATTCCTATCCCAGTGAGATATATCAAAGATTCTCATATTATCATGCAATTAAAGAAATGAGGCAGTGGTAGTTTTAAAAAGAGTTAGGCATATATACACATTTAACCCCTCAACTTATCATCATCAATTAAAAACAACCCCGAATTTTATAACCGATTAACCGGTTATCATTAGAGTTAAAGTAAATTATTTTATTATTAAACCTAAATTGCATCACAAACAAAAAATGAATTAAACAAATTATGTAAAAAAAAATAAGAACTTTTAAATTGTTAATTTGTACTAATATCAATATACTTTTTTTGTTTCAAATTTATATTTTATCGAAACATAAAAGCATTATCGATTTCTCAAAACCATATAAGATTGTATTCTAAAGTTGAAAGACTCAAAAAGTAAAACAAAATATTAAAATCGAAGTATATTACGTTTTTATTGTACGAGTAAAATTCTGGTTATTAAAAACTAGAAGGGTACTCATGCAATGCATCGAGACACATTTCCATTTTAATTTTTTGTTTTGTTTTTTATCCATGTCGATATAATACGATTTTATATGGTTTTGAAAAAGAGATAATGTTTCTATTTTTTAATAAAATATAAATTTGAAAATATCATATAAAATTTGCAAGAAATATATCAATATTAGTATCAAATTAACCATTTAAAAGTTCTTGTTTGTGTATTTTTTAATTCAATTTTTTTATTATAATTTAATTTAACGAAACGAAGTAACTTAATTTAGGTTATTATTTTTATAAAGATAATAATTAAGTATTCTGTTAGAACTCAATAATTATCCTAATTATATTTTAAAATTAAATGTTTATCCTCTATTTGACTATGTTTATCCGCAGTTAGTTACACGAATTCAAACATAGAGCTTTAATAAGTTGTATTTATATACAATTTACTTGTAATTTTGAATTTTAAATAATATACATCAATAAATAGTACTTTATGCATAAAAATAAAAATGATCTTTAAAAATTCTTGTCAAATGCTTTATTACTAGAAGGGTACTCACGCAATGCAGCGAGATACATCTCAATTTTAATATTTTATATTATTCTGTATCTCAGTCGATGTTATAATATGATCTTATGTGATTTTGAAAAAGTGATAATGTTTTTATTTTGAATAAAATATAAGTTTGAAGATATCATAAAAATTTGACAAAAATAAATCGATATTGGTATCAAATTAACTATTTAAAATTCCTAATTTTTTTGTATACTTTTTTAATTTAATTTTTTTATAATTTAATTTAGGTACAATGACGAAGTAATTTATATTTGGTTTAATAATATAATTTTCTTATAAAAATAATAATTATTTATTTTGTTAGAACTCGATAAATATTCTAATTATATTTTAGATTTTTTATATTTTAAAATGAGATGTTTTTTCTCTATTTGATTATGTTTATCCGCAGTTAGTTATACGAATTCAAACATCGAGCTTTAATAAGGTGCACTTATACATAATTTACTTGTAATCTTGAATTTTAAGTAATATGCATCAATATACAGTACTTTATGCAAAACAAAAATATAACGATATTCATATCAAATTAACTATTTAAAATTCCTCACTTTTTGTGTAATTTTTTAATTCAGTTTTTTATTATAATTTAATTTAAGTACAATAACGAA